GGCTATTTGTGTTTTATCAACTCAGCAAAGCCATTTGACTGTGTGGATCATAAGGAATTATGGCTAATGTTGAAAACAGTGAGAATCCCAGAGCACTTACTTGTGCTCATAAGACTCAGGGATAGGATCTAGTAAATCTGTGTCTTAGCCAGCCCGCCAGGTGTTTCTGATCTATCTACAGTGAAAGATTTACGGTTCTAAAGTAAGGAGTCCTGGTGGCACAGTGGAGTAAGCATTGAGATGCTGACAGAATGATGAGGCGGTCTGCTTGCATAATTAGTCACCCTTGGTGTTTCTGTTCTGCCTGTAGAGTTACTAGGAGTCAATCAACTTTGCAGCAGTGGATTTGATAAGATTTTGGTTGACTTAATTCCTGAGTGGAATTGCTGAGTTGTGGGGTGGTGATGTGTACTGTGGATTCAAACCACGTACCTTTGCATTGGCAGTGTAATTCCTTACCACTAAGCCATCAGAGCTCCCTGTGGGATGCAAATATGTTTAATTTTATTGAGTACTACACAGCTTTTAACTGATTATACAAATGCATACTCATAAAGCAGTATTTAAAGATTTCCTATTCCATATCCTCACCAACACTTTGGAATATGTAACTTTGACTATTACCTTAATTTTCCCACTTAATAATGAGGTTGAGAATCTAATCTGTTCGTACACCACAGGGTTTTATAGTCTGTGTTACAGTGTTCTGAAAGGTAATTATATAAATATTCAGACTATGTTGAAATAATTACAGAATAAGTTGAAATTTCTCAAGGATAAAGAAACTGAGGGGGAGGAGGGAAGAAATCAAGGAGAGTCTCCAGAGACATGATGATCAGGGAGTCTTAGGGGACTAGGAGTTTGTCAGAGTGACTGAAGGAAGGCTGTATATGTAAACAAAGCTCAAAACAGGAAAAGCAGGTAGTATGGTGTGATTGACTTACAGAGGATATGGAGGAAAAGACATACATTAAGACCAGGGAAAAGGTAGAAAACGGCTAGGTGTACTTGAAATTTATTTAACCTTTTACTGATTGTGAGGCATTCAAGTTATAACTGGTTTCAGTATTGTTTTCTCTCCTACCATAGAAGAAACACTGTACTATACATAGCTACTTTGGAAAAAAATTTTCTTAGAGTAATATATTTAAACTAAAATTACGAGATTGAAGGAAAGGAACCAAACCCAACCCACTGCCTCCTAGCTGATTCTGACTCACAGTGACCCTGTAGGACAGCGTAGAACTGCCTCATAGAATCTCTGAGTCGGTCAATCTACAGTGCAGACATCTTTCCCTTGGAGAAGCTCACAGGTTCAAAACATTAACCTATTGGTTAACGGTAGACTGCTTTAATCACAGCATCATCAGTGCTTCTAAAGGAAATGAGGCATACTTATTTTCCTGATTTCTTCAGTATTTTAAGATTACCTTCCAATAGTCATTGGGAGAATGCAAATAAAAACTACAGTGAGTTACCACTTCACATCTAATAAAATGGCTGTAGTTTAAAAGGTGAACAGGTATGTGATCAAAGGGGCAGCAGCTGCGGGGTGGGGTGGGGTGGGGGTAAAGCTTAGAGGCAAGAAAGGTTTAGAAAGACCATGGGAATGGGACACACAGGGAGGGAATGGGGAGGTTGTCTTTAACATTTTTTTCTAAATGTGTGTAAATTGCTGAATGAAAAACCAATTTGCCTTAAATGCTTAGACTCAAATTACAATATTGCTTTTATGTGCCTGTGACTCATAGCTACTTTATGTAAAATATCCCTACACCCTGCTCTATCCTGTGCCAACCTTATTGTCTCTGACACACCTACCCGCATTACCCTAGTCAATGAGTCATTCCACCTCATCGAGAGTCTTCCTCTCCTGTGTTGTCCCACCACCCTCCCAAACATGACATCCCTCTCCAAAGTCTGTTCCCTACTTGCACCTTGTTCAGAGTATGTCAGATGAAGCTTAAGAATCCCTACTATTCACTGTTCATACAGTGAAAGGTTCATGAATATATATTTATTCCCATAAAAAGTATTGATACATGCTATAATGAGTGAGCCTTTGAAGTATTACACTAAGTGAAAGGAACCAGTTACAGAAGACCATGTAGTTTATGATTTTATTATATGAAACATCCTGAATAGTTCCTTGCTCTGTTCAGATAATAGCATTTTGGTCTAGGTTTTTCATGAGGCACAATCAAGTGTTCTGGGATTTCCATTCTTCTCAGTGTTAGCCACAGTTTGTTGTGGTCCACACAGTCAAATGCCTTTGCATAGTTGTTAAAATATATATAGACATCCTTCTGGTGCTTTCTGCTTTCAGCCAACACCCATCTCACATTAGCTGGTGTTCACACAATAGTTGTACTTTCTGTGTCAGTTTATAGAGAAAACATTTCTATTAATCACCATGGTTTTTCTGAAATTTGTAAAATAGAGGTATATAGTATGTGACACTTCTATTTATTTATTCCACAGTCAATGCATGGAAGTTTTAAAGATTATTAGACCTATGACAATTTTAAAAGCCAAAAAATAATTTTACTCCAATAATGTTGAATATAATTAATATAATTATAGTATCAGAATTGAGGAGCACTACAAGATGTAAATAATAGCTATTTTGAAAAATTATACCTAGCTTGTTATGTCAGAACTGACTCATAGCTGACCCTCCAGCAAGTTTTCAGAGGCAATAAATCTCACAGGAAGAGATTGGCCATCTTCTGCAGAGCGGCTGGTGGGTTCAGGCTTTATATCTTTGAAATGACAGTGCAATTCCTTACCACCAAGCCACCAGAGATTTCCTATACCTTGATTAAGAATTTTAAAAGTGTAGGACCTAAAATGATTTCTTTTTTGTTGTTCTGTTGGGTTGAGCTGTTTGTTTAATCTTTGGCTAAAGATAATTTCCAATATACTTAGAATAAATAGACTAGAATGTAACTGGATGAATGCTCCACCCAGGAAGAACGTTGTAAAAGTGTCTTATTATAAACTATTTATATTTTATATAGTAGTATTATTTGTTTTAGTATTACATTTCTTATGGACAAAAGTCCATATGTTGTTGTTGTTGTTGTTGTTGTTACGTGCCGTCGAGTCGTTTGCGACTCATAGTGACCCGATGCACAACAGCCCTAAACCCTGCTCTATCCTGCGCCAACCGCACTGCCTCTGACACACCCATCCCGATTACCCCAGTCACCGAATCAATCCATCTCATAGAGGGTGTTCCCTTCCTGCGCTGTCCCTCCACCCTCCCAAGCATGCTGTCCGTCTCCGAGGACCCGTCCCTCCTGGCAACATGTCCAAAGTATATCAGACGAAGCCCCAGAATCCTTGCCTCCAAGGAGTAGCTTGGTTTAATCCTCTCCAAGATGAATCTGTTTGTTTTCCTGGCAGTCCATGGTACATTCAGTACTCTTCTCCAGCACCACAGCTCAAAGGCATCCACTCTCCTTCTGTCCTCCCTAGTCATTGTCCAACTCTCTGATGCATAACAAGCGACTGAAAATACCATGACCTGTGTCAGGTGCACCTTAGTCTCCAGAGAGACACCGTTGCTCTTGAGTACTTTAGAGAGGTCCCTAACCGCAGACTTTCCCATCGCAATACGCTTTTTGATTTCCTGACTGCTGGTGCCAAGAGTGTTGACTGTGGAGCCGATCAAACTAAAGCTGTGAACAATCTCAATCTCTTCGCCATCCATCCTGACGCTGCCAATTGGTCCAGTGGTGAGAATCTTTGTCTTCTTGACATTGAGCCTCAGTCCATACTGAAGGCTGCAGTCCTTGATCCTTCGCAGCAAGTGCATGAGGTCCTCCTCAGTTTCAGCAAGCAGGGTTGTGTCATCTGCATAACGCAGATTGTTAATAGATCTTCCACCAATCCTGATGCCACAATTCTCCTCATAGAGCCCAGCCTCTCGGCTAATCTGCTCTGCGTACATGTTGAAAAGGTATGGAGACAGGATGCATCCCTGCCGTACACCCTTCCCAATTTTGAACCATGCAGTGTCACCCTGCTCTGTTCTGACTACTGCCTCTTGGTCCAAAAGTCCATAAGCATTTGAAATTTTTCTGTTGTATTTTGCTGTTGTTGAGGTTTTATATACTATTTTTCTTAAAGACAAAAATAAATCAAATGTTTGAGTACTTTAAAAATTTTACTACTTCTTGTTGTGAACATTGAATCAGAACTAACTCATAGCTGACCCTCTAGCAGGTTTTTAGAGGCAGTAAATCAAACTGGAGGAAATTACCTGTCCTTCTCCCATGGAGCAGCTAGTGGATTCGAACCACGTGCCTTTGAGATTGTAGCACTGCTTCTTAATACTCAAAAGTGTCTGATAATGAGTAGTTAAATTATGATGTATTTCTGTTGTGTAATGTTAATCTACAGTTGAATATTATAACTAAGAGCTGTAATTCCTATATTTGTCAACTTTAAAAGACAGAATATACATCATGGAGTCTTTATTTTGACAAAGGTTTTTATATACATGGAGAGATCTGGACAGACAGTGTTCAGATGGAGAAATTATGGTTAAATTTTGCCTTTTTTGGAATATTTATTAAGAAGATGCTATGTGCTAAAAGTATTCACTCTCCACATGTTTTAACTCAGAGGTCTGTAAACTACAGTACACTTGACTTGTAAAGCCCATTTTTATATGGCTTTTGGGCTAAGAATGTTTTTTGTATTTTTTTTAAAGGATTGCTTAAAAAATACAGAGACCTTGTGTTGCTCTACTGTCTGTCCCTTTACAGAAACAATTTTTGATCTTTAATTTTACCTTCACAACATTTCAGTAAGGTGAGTCTTATTATTTTTCCCCATTTTAAAGATAAAGAAACAGGCATAATGGGGTTGAGTAAGTTTTCCTTGATGGCAGTCATCAAGTTTTAGACCAGATGACAGGCTCTTTATACAATCTTGCTAATACTGTGTTTCTTTGCAGTGTGAAAAGTGGATAGTGTCTCACATGTCAAAGGATGGCAAGTTCTCGATCTAGATCCCCCAGGTGGAAACCAAGGTGAGCACTTCTTAGCCTAGCTGAGTAAGCTTAGATTTGTGGTATGTGACAACTTCCAAATTCACCAGTACTGGTAAAATGGATTTTAACAAGGTTTTAGGACTTGGCAGTCACAGTATGTACTTTGTAGAGGTAGAGGATATGTGTCCAGATTCTAGGTGCTGACAGCTTTATTTCATTATAACTTTTGGCTTAGAATGAATCCATGATAAAAAGGCATGCAGTAGCCACAGATAAGGAGAGAGGGAGAGAAAATTATCTTTGAGAGCAGTAAACTTGTTCTGTATTTGTGGGTGATTTAGAACTCTTTAGGCTTGTGTTTTATTTTTTCCATAATATCTTTTAAAAACTTTGGAATTAGGAAATATTCTATTCTCATTTACAGCAGAATAATGGAATTTTTAATAACTCATTTGTAATTCATTGTTTCTCATTCCTAGCTGATAGGAATTGTTGTTGTTAAGTGCTGTCGAGTTGTAGATGATTCATAGCAACCCTATGAATGAAAGACCTGAACACTTGTATAACTTTCATTGTTTCTCCAAGATCATCAAGTTTCCGGAGGCAAGCTATTTTGGAAGTGTGTGCCACTCCTGCTTCCAAGCCTGTTTTAATCTGTCAGCTCCACCAAACACTGTTCATCATGGGTAACCATTATTCCATTTGACACATCAGTGTCACAGTGTTTAGCATCACAGCAACTACATGTCACCTCTGTACAGCAAATGGACAGACCAGTGCTATACCACTTAGAAGAATGTTTGACCAAAAAGAATTAAAATCAGGCCTGAGGGCCGCAGATTAAAATCACCCACCTTTGGCTTGGTAGCATAACTTTCTGTCCACTAGGCCAACAGAGCTCTCTCTATGACTCACAGCAATTCTATGTACAACAGATCTCACCCTTACCCTATCCTGTGCCATCCTTACGTGCTCGAGCCCATTGTTACTGTATCAATCCATCCTGTTGTGGATCTTCTTTTCTTCTCTGACCTTCCACTTCTCTCAGCATGATGTCATTTCCCAATGACTGGAACCCTAACTGTTGTTAAGTGCCGTTGAGTCGTAGATGACTCATAGTGACCCTTTGAACTAAAGACCTGAACACCTGTATAACTTTGATCGTTGCTCTAAGTTCATAGTTTCCAGAGGCAAGCTGTTCCGGAAGTGGATGCCATTCCTACTTCCAAGCCTTTTTTTATCGGGGAGCTCCACCAAACACTGTCTACCATGGGTAACTGTTATCGTATTTGACACATCAGTGTCACAGTGTTTAGCATCATAGCAACCATACAACTGGTTTAGGATGTGAACATCATAGTCAACTGTATCACAATGTGAAATTTTCAGTTGTAGTGATTGGGGCAAAGTATTCTGGATCCACAAAGAGGTAATAATTCTGCTTTGGTGTAGGAGAAAGTAGGATACTAAGAAAGTCTTCAAAGAAGAGACAGGAGTTTAGATGGGCAATTAAGAATGCATAGAATTTCTAAAGACAGAAAAAGTGGAGAAAAATATTCTAGGAATATAGTGTAACAATGAATGAATGGAATTCCAAAAACTCTGTAAATGTTCATTAAAATTAATAAAATAAAATTGAAAAAATATTCTAGGTATAGAGCTGTGAATATGACTGGTATGTTCTAGGATTTTAGAAAGAGGGCCATAGTTATATGCAGAAAAAGAACATCAAAAGTTTTCATGTTGCAACAATGAATGAATGAAAACCCAAAATCTCTGTAAATGTTCACTAAAACTAATAAAATTTAACAATAATTAAAAAAAAGAGTTTTCATGTTCATGTGACTTGACCATTGTGCTGGCTCATTTTTTATTATGAAATTTCTAATTTCTTATTGCAGGAGTTTTGATGGCCTAGTGGTAAAGAAGTTGTGCTGCTAACCCAAAGGCACAAGGTTCAAATTCGCCAGCTGCTCCCTGGATAAAAGATGGGTAGTCTCTTCCCATGTGATTTAAAGCCTCTGAAAACCCACTGAAGGGTCATTTATGAGTCACTTCCAACTCAACAGCACACAACTACAATTTCTTAACAGTTTTCATTTTTAGTTCATAAGACCATATTGTAATGAAGAATAGCTTCAGAAAGAAAGAGCATTGTAAAGTAAGAAATGATTTAACATGGATGGATCACAGAGGCCATTTTGTGATACCCTTATGTGTGAGGGAGCATAAGAGACTACCAAGATTAGTTCCTGATTTCTCGACTCTGTCAAGAACTGTGAAGTTTTACTCTATTTGCAGGCTAACCCATTAGCCTGCAACACACGCTTCTGGCTTAGAGATAGTATGACTTGTGGCAAGCATCATGAGTTTTATATTAGTTCTCTTTCCCCCTGAGTCCCTTAAGAGTACTACAGAGCATTTAGCTAGGTGGATGCTATAAAGCAGGACACAACTAAGGAAACCTCCACTCAAGAATAAGCAAACCCGTTCAACTCTTACCCCAGAGAGAGACATTTCTTCTTATCCTGGGATCACCAACCAGCTCCTCTGAAGGAGATGCTACATCTGTCTTCCAAGGCTATGTGCCTTGGAAGAAAAGTTGTCAGTGCCTGAAAAAGACCCCCACAGAAGTTTGTCAACAAACTCTGTGTGCATCTTTTGTCCTTTTAGTTAAATTTGAAATGATAACAACCCTTCTTTTGGAAGAAGGAATCTTAAAAAATAAAATAACAATAAAACATATGATAGAAATATAATAAGCAAAGGACTATTTAGTGTGCGGCAAAGATTAAAGTGAGATCTTGAGTGTTTTGTTCTACCTGGAAGCCCTCTGCTTCTGCCTGTAAGCTTTTCTGCTTATCAGTGAAAGATGAAATCTTTAAGGAAGTACACAGAGGCTCCAGTGACTGCCTTTTTTTTAAGATGGCAGAGTTCTGCCTCAGCTCATAAACACGTTTATTAGTACATCAAGATTGATGATTTTAAATGGAGATAGTGTCAAGTCCATTCTTTACATCCCATGTATGCCTGACTGCCTCCTTTCTTGGGAGGATACACACTTGCCACTAAAAGGAAAGAGGTTTATTCTTTGATGCTCCAGCTGCAAATGGTAATTTCTAATGAGAGAGTGATGATAAAAGCTGCACGAATGGCTTCCTCACTGAACCACCACTACCCTTGAGTTGTGTCTGACTCATTGTGACCCTTCTTTGGGTTGCCAAGGGTGTAAAATCTTTGCTAGAGACTGCCCATATTTCTTCCACTGAGTGTTGGTTCTTTGGATCCACCAACCTTCTTAGCAGTCTGCTATGATATACGTGCCACTACACCACAGCACACCTTTTACTACTCAGAAGATTGAGAGATTGTTGTTGTTAGGTGCCATCAAGTCAGCTACAGGGACACTGAACAACGGATCTGAACCTTGCCCCATCTGTGCCATCCTTGGTTTCTGTGTCCTCTTCAAGCCCATTGTCATAGTCACTACCTCAATCCAGCTCATGGAGAGTCTTCTCTTTTTTGCTGACCCTCTAACTTTTCCCCAAAAGATACCTCTTTCCAGGGACTGATTCCTCCTGATAAAAATATGCCTCAAGTAAATGAGATGAAGTTTCAAAATCCTTGCCTCTAAGGAGCACTCTGGTTGCACTTCCTTCAAAACAAATTTTTTTTTTTGTTTCTTCTTTTGGCAGTCCATGGGATATTCCGTATTCTTCTCCACAACCATAATTCAAAGACATCAATTCTTCTGTCATCTTTATTCCTTGTCTGACTTCTAGGTACATAGAAAGCAATTGAAAAGGTGGATCAGGTGCACTTTAATCTTTAAATTGACATCGCTGTTCTTTAGAATTTTGGAGAGGTCTTTGACTGCAAATTTTCCCAATATAACATATCTTTAGGCTTGTTGACTGCTGCTACCAAGGGTGTTGCTTGTGGGAGTAAAATGAGTCCTTGAGTATTTTTTTTCTGTCTTTCATGATTTTGTCTGTTGATCCGGTGGTGAGGATTTTTGTTTTTATTGATGTTAATATGTAATTATATTGTAGTCAGCAATCTTAGCAGGGAAAAATTAGATAGGGTAAAAGGTTCTTAGGCGAAAAATGGTATTTCATTGTGTTCTAGATCATTTTACTCTACTTTTCCCGATTTTTAATCTGGGAAACCCAGATTTGTTACCCTGTATACAGATGCCTTCCTCCTTAGTAGAATTGAAAGACTCAGCATTAGCATTGCTGAGGTATTGAGGAAGGTATTGATAATTGAAAGGACCTGTTGTCTATGTTAAAGTAGACATGCACCAAAGTTGTAAGCTGTTTGGACAGCAGACCTTTCATTTTAGATATAAGAGAATAGGTCTGAGAAAGAGAAGCAACTTAACTATGTTAGTGAATTTAAGCACTACATCTCCTAATAAAAATGGTTGGTGGTTCAAGTCCATCCTGGGAACCTGAAAAGAAAGGTCATCTCCTTCCAGTAAATCAGCTTTTAAAGCCCTGTGTATGGATCAGCTCTACTCGGACACATACTGGGCTTGCCATGAGTTGGAGTTGACTCAGTAGCACCTTTTTTTAAAATTCCTGGAGAAAGTAAGCCTGAGAGTCAAGTCTTAAGTGCCACCACCCCTGATGTTAAGAATATATTATTTTTGTTCCTGGACACAATTAATAGAGTAGATTATTATTTTAGAGGCAATGTGATCCATTTTGGGTCTGAATTTGGATTTATTATACCATCATAAACATGTTAGAATCTGTTTTCAGAGGTTATGTTTAGTGTGCCAGAGACTTTCATAGACACTTATTTGCCCTCTTTTGGCTTATTGCTTACCTGACTGTTAACCTGGCACAAGCTTTTGAGGCTGGCTGTCTTTTTGAAATCACTGCCATTGTTTTGCTGTCAGCAGGCTTCTAGCATGGATCCTCCTGCATACTTCAGCTAGTTCTTCTCTAGTTGGATTGATGAAAAAACATTGTCATAAATATCTATAAGCAAAACATTTGCCATTCAACATTTTTATAGGTACATTTGAATAACATAATTTTCATCATACTGTGTAATCATCATAACTATTTCCAGATTTTCCCCTCGTCTTTGACAGAAACTCTGCCCCTAAGAAATAACTTCCTTTTTTCCCCTTGCCTCCCACCTCTTCGTAGTTTCTTTTTTTTTTCCGTAGTTTGTTTCTTTACTAATCCAGCTGTGAGTGAGCTCAGACTGTGTTTGTCCTCTTATCACTAACTTAGTCCACACAGCATATTGTTTTGAAGGTTCATTGATGTAATTGTGTGTATCAGGACTTCATTTCTCCCTGTGGCTAAAAAATATTTCATTGTATGTATGCACCACATTTTCTTTATCCATCCGTCTGTTGACAGACATTTAGATCATTTCCATCTTTTGGATATTGTGACTAATCCTGCAGTGAACATTAGTGTTCATGTTTCAGTTGCTGCTATGGGTTATGTTGATTATATCCCCGACTGTGCAATTACTGGGTTATGTCATGCTTCTGTGGTTAATAGGAGGGTTATTTGTTTTTATTTAATTATTTTTGTTTTATATGGTTTGCATACTGTGGTTAATGTTTTCGGGAACCACACTGTTTTTCACAGAGGCTACATTGTGTTACAGTCCCAGCAGCAGTGAACGAGAGTTCCAGTTTTCTCTGACACTTGATTTCAGTCTTTCTGATCATGGCCATCCTAGTGTGAATGGAGTAATATTTCATTGTGGTTTTGATTTGGATGTCCCTAATGACTGGTTCAGAACTATTGTACATAAGGTCGCTGTGAGACACAGTCGACTCCATAGCACATAACAACAATGACTAGTAAGCGAGGTCTGATGGCTTAGTGTTAAAAAGCTGTGCTGTGATCCCAGACGCACATGGTTTGAATCCACCAGCTGCTCCATGGGAGAAGGATGGACAGTCTCCTCCCGTGTGATTTACTGCTCCTGAAAAACCTCCTGGAGGTTCAGTTATGGGTCGGTTCCAACTCAGTGGCACACAACAATAACAACAACAAATGGCTAATTATGTTGAGCATTTGTTTATGTGCTTGTTGACCATTTGTGTATCTTCTTTGGTGAAATGTCTATTCAAGTGCTTTGCAAATGTTTTAAATTGTTTTATTCGCATTCATTTTATCTTCATTCTTCTTGTTACTGATTGCTAACTTCATTTCATATGGTCAAGAGAAAATGATGTATGGTTTCAGTCTTTTCAGTTTTATTAAAATTTTGTGTCCTAAAAAGAGTTTTGGAGAATTGATTAGTGTGTGGTGGAATAAAATGTGCGTTGTGCTTTTGTTACGTGGTTATGTTATATATGTTACTTATCTGTTAGGTTCAGTTGGTTAATGATGATATTCAGGGTTTCTGTTTCTTTATTCACTTTCTTTCTAATTGTTCTATCTATTATCAAAATTGATATGTTAAAGTCTCCTACTTTAGATCTGTTTCTCTTCTATTCTGTTAGAGCTTGCTATATACCTTTTGGGCTCTGATGTTCATTATGTAGATTTTTGTAATTATATGTGTTTTCCTGAGTAGGTGATTTCTTTTATCATCATATAATATCCTTTGTTTCTTATAAATGAATTCTTACTTCAAGTTTATTTATGAGATATGAATCTTGTTATTCCTGCTCTTTTGATTACTCTTTACTTGGTATGATTTCCTTCCCTGCCTCTACTCCATTCTTTGGCTTTTAACCTGTTTATGTAATACACAAAAGTTTTAATTTTGATGAATTTGTCCATTGCTTGTGCTTTCAGTGTCATATGAAAGAATCCACTGTAAAAAAGATCCCTAAGCTTTATTTCTGTGTGTTCTAAGAGTTTTGTGGTTTTGGTTCTTATGTTTAAATTCTTGATCGTTGTTTGAAAATAATATTTGTATACAGTCTGAGTTCTTGAGCAAGCTTTTCATGTGCCAATACAGTTGCCTCATCACCAGTTATTAAAGAGGCTATTCTTTCCTCCTTGATTGAATTTAGCACTGTTGTTGAAAATCAGTGTATGGGTTCAACTTGCTTTGGTATCCACATGGAAAACATTAGTTTGGATGGAAAAAGTATGTTTGTTAAATTGAGTAGCACTATAATCAAAACTCCAGTGTATAATTTAGAACATAGATAAAGCAGTGTTAATCAGTTCCAATAAATGAATCAGTAGAACATTTGGAAAAAGAAATATTTTAGTTAGGCCATATTAAGATATTCTTAATAAAGTTTTATTTATGTAGACTTAACTTTTCTGTGTTTGTTTACATAGGTCTTTATCACCAGTACCTAGAAATTCTGACAACTATAAACAAAGACATTTTTATGGATATTATGGCTCTGACTATAGGAAGGATCCCAGAAGACCCATTGCTTGGAGAATGGACAATGAGAAATATAGGCAGAGTAATACAAGCACTCCTTCTCGTGAAAATATGTACTACCGGCCTTATGAATATAGATCACCTTCCCCAAACCTAAGAAGAAACACTTCAGAAAATTTTTATAAGCCCTACCAAGTTTATTCACCAGGAAGAGGGACCGTTAATAGAAGATCTCAGTATATGCCAGAATACGCAGAAAGTAGTTCTGAACATGAGAGGAATTGTTATCCCCAGAAAGAGCGAGGAAGGTATTTTCCTGATGACTACAGAGGTAGAGGAAGTGGGAAAAGAGGAAAACCACCTCAGAGGTCAGTAGCAAATTCTTCCCAATTAGAAGAAAAGTGGCATGAAGATGAATTTAGGTCCCAGTGGACAAAAGAAAAACAGTATCCCCAGACACCCAGAAGAAATTCTGAAGACTTTGAGACAAGGAGCTCTTTTAAGAAAAGGTATAGGATAACATTAAACTTGAGTAACTCAATATAAAGTCCCAAGTGAAAAAAGTTTATAGTTGAAGATAGTGACCTTGGCTTTTTGTCTAAAAAGATAACACTGTAATTTTTATATTCTACTGATAGTAGTGGAGTATTTATTTTTTATGATAAATCAGGTTAATGGCTATAGTTTTTACAAATTTTTCTCTTTTTTAACAACCTGTACCTTTGTGAATTGGTTTGAGGGATTATGGCTAAACGTGCCCTTGCATTGTGCATTTAAAGCCAGGCTGTACAGCATTATACACATAAAGTTTTCACTTTCTTCTCTCTGGACTAAGTATAAACTGCTTTATGTTAATACAGGTATCCTGAAGATCGTCATTTCCGAAAATTCCACTATGCGCCAGAAAGACCTGACAACGTGGAGAGGTATGAAAGAAGAGAGCCTGCCAAGCATCCGAGGTGGAAGTCCATGCCTTCTCATTCACCTTATCAAGAAAACAAAAGTTCAAAGAAGAACTTTGAACTGCAGACTCATGCTGACAAGGAAGAAGACTCCGAGACCGACTCAGTAACCAAGATATCCTATGACTACCGCAGCAGGCACACCAAACCCTCAGATGAGAACAAGGACTTTTCTGATGGAAGAACTCAGAAGTACTCCAAGGAAAAAGATAGAAGGAACAATTTTCAAAAAGGCCCTGTAACAAGAGAATCAGAATATTTTAATGCTGGCAGAGGGAGAGAGACTAACGATGAGCTAGTCAGAGTACCTTTTAAGCAAACTAAGAGAGACTGCACAGCTGGTACTCGTTCAAGTAAAACTGTTACTGATTTGAGGCTTTTTAATGAAGAACTGGAGGGGGAAATGAAGAAACAAGAGAATTTAACAAAAGAGAGCAATTCTTCCAGCAACTATCTTGATAAAAGTAAAAACCTTTCAGATGTGAAATCCACATATTTTAGTCATCAGAAGAAATTTCTAACAATTAAAGTAAATGTGAAGAATAGAGTAGATCCATCCAGGTATTATCTTCATTTTCCCCTTAACATTTTTTAACTATTTCTGCTACCTTTATTTTACAGCTTTGAAAAATGGAATGGATAGTGTTTAGAGTCCATTGAGAGGAAAGGATTCCCTGGGTATTTTCAGTAGAGCTTTGATGAAGGTGGGATCTGTGCTTCAGAATGTGATCTCATATCTGCTTCTTTGCACATTGTATTTCGAGGTGATTGTTCAGTACAGGGCAGAACCTGGAGTTGTTGTTCTTCCTGAATTGGTGTGTTGTCATGTTGCTATATTTATTCCAGGATAGGCTGAGAAAGGTGCTCAAGGAACTGTTCCTTCCCCAGTTTCTTGGAGATTGTGTCCCTGTTGTCTGAGTTCAGGGAATCTTTTTAGTTAGTTATTTTTATAGTAGTTTATTTACAAAATTAAAATACATTGTTATCATTTCCCCATTTGATAGGTTTTCTTTCCTTGTCGAATATCAGCTGATCATAGAGTAGATGTTGTTGATTGCCATTGAGTCGAGCAAGACTCATAGCGACCCTATAAACAAAAGACCTGAAGCCGTTCTATAACCATTGTCGTTTCTCAAAAAGTTCATAGACTTTCCAGAGGTATGTTGTTTAGGAAGTGGTTGCCACTTGTGCGACCATGACCTTAGATATTAGATAGATAGGTCCATTTCTGGGTTCTCAGTTAGTTAAACTGGTCTTTGTGCCTGTCATTGTACCAGTACCATGCTGTTTTGGTTACTACTGCTGTGCAGTAGGTTTTGAGATCAGGTAAGTACAATGCCTACCACTTAATTTTTTTTTAAGTACTTTTCTTATTTGAGAGTCTCTTTTCTCTCCAAATGAACTTGAAAATGTCCCTTTCAATATCTTTGAAAAATGAATTTGGTATCTGTATTGGGAGTGTGTCAGACATGTAAATTATTTATTTTTAACTTTACATTGGTTTGCATACAAAGTTTGTATACATTGTGTTTTATACTTTCTTTCATCCGTATTGTGTTTCGTATAGTCATTCTCATTCATTGTGTTATAAAATCAATCGCTGTTAAACCATGCCCTTCTTTATCCTATCTTTCCTGATCCCCACTGGATCTTTCCCATTTCCCTTACCTCCACTCCTTTCACCCACCAATTTGTGTGACCTTGTGATTTCCCCCCTGCCCACTCAGGTTCAGGGAATTTTTGAGCTAGAAGAGACCTTAGTAGGCTCTGGTTTTATATAGGAAGAATGTGAGACCCTGAGAGAGGAAGTGACTTGTCTAAGAGAGAAATTGAGACTCAAACCCTTGTGTCCCCTTGTGACTCAAGGAAGTGAGAGACTTAGCCTGGTTCTGTACTAAGGTCTCCTAGGTGAAGGAACGTAGACAAATCTTGGAAGGTACCTTTTTATAAGAAATTTTGTTTATCTCTTAATGATTCTTAAATAAGACGACACTACTGTAGTCGTCTGTTATATTGCATTGCAAGCCATTTTCCATTATGAGAATTACCTCTGTGTATAGATTTCTGAGAATTAGTAAAGTCAGCTTATTACTTTAACATATTTAGATGCTTTTATGGTCACAACTGATTCATAGCTTTATCAGAAACAGAAAACTACTAAGGGTAGGACAGAAGGAGGAGGGGCAAGTAGATAAGCCCATTGTTCTTTTTTAAAACTTTTTTTTTATTCCATGAAGTTAGATATGCCCCCCTTTTCCTTACGCTCGTTATACTTGTTGTTAGGTACTGTCAAGTAGAATGCAACTCATAGCGATCCTGGGAACAACAGATCTGAACCCTGTCCTATCTCACACTTCCTGACACACTAGAGCCTATTTCAGCCATCACCATGTCAGTCCACGTGGTGAAAGGTCTTCCTCTCCTTCACTGACCCTCCACCTTCTAAGTATCATGTCCCTCTCCAAGGAATATCCCCTCCTAGCAACATACCCAAAGGACATGAGGCAAAGCCTCATCATCCTTGCTTCCAAAGGGCACTCTAACTGCACCCTCTCCAAGGTATATCTGTTTGTTCTTTTGTAAGTTCATGAAATATTCAGCATTATTCTCCAACATGACAGTTCAAAGGCATTAGATATTCTTTTTTCTGTCATTCTTATGCAATGTCCAACTCTCAGATGCATACCAAGAGGTTGGAAACAGCATGGCCCAAATAAGGCACACCTTAGTCCTCAAATGACATCATTACTCCTCAATAATTTAGAGAGATCCCTAACTTCAGATTTTCCCAGTGTGATTCATTAATTGTGGATCCAAGTAAGACGAAGTTGTTGATAATCACTAGCAAAATAATTAATATACCTATGTATCTGTTGGCCTAGTGTTAAGAAACTGCTACAACCCCAAAGGCACACTGTTTGAACCTATCAACTGCTATGGGAGACAAGGGTAGACAGTCTCCTCCTGTGCTACGTACTTCTGAAAACCCACGGGAGAGTCAGCTATGGGTCCAACTTGCCAGCACACAACAATAATCTTTGTATGTATGCAGAAAGTATTTGTAAATTATACAAAATTGGAAAAAAATGGGTGAAAAAAATCACCCAGAATCGTACCAACTTGGGACAGTTTTATTAACTATTTTAGTATAATTCCTTTTGTTATTTTTTTATGTTGACTATAATACTGTATTAATATCTTTGTTACCTCTTCTCATGTAGTATGCCTTAAATAACTTTTGGGTTATTATATTTCTTACTAGTTTTTTATTTCAGTAGCACAAAGTCTGCTGCAAGCATCAAATTTAAGAATATTCCTTAAACATTTTTTTCTTTCCAATACTATGAAAATGTTTAAACATACAGAAAAGTTGAAAGAATTATGTAGTGAACACCTACAGCCATTACCTACAGTCTACAATTAATGTTTTTAATCACATATCTGTCCTCTGAACCCCTTTTTTTTATTTATTTTACAGAAAATTTTAGACATCTTTATATTTCTCTTTAAGTACTTCAGTCTTGCCATTAACAGGTTTTTTCTTTTGTAAAATTTACATGCAAAGAAATACACAAAAATATTTAAAAATTTTTTCAAAAATTATATGAAAGTAATAATAATTCATATTTATTCCTCAAGTGTTTCAGACTTAAAGGGAATTAATTCCTTTTCATTTTTATAGAAATACTAGTTTTTAAGTGTTTTGTTTTAGTAGACTTCATTAGTAGCACTAAAGTTAGTTACTTTACTGATAAATGGAAGTTTGATCTTTATATTATGTATCACAATTATGAGCTATTAAAAATGGAGCTCACTGTGTCCCTTTTTCCCCTTGAAAAACTATACATTTGTGAAATCTCATGCCGTCAGTGGAGCCTCTCAACAGAGTAGGCAACTCAGTCATACCTGACAAAGGCTTGCAGGACAGCTCTGTGGTAGCCGCCTTCCACTATTTTTCACTGCATTTATTATACTAGCAAAAGGTTCTTTATAAACCACCACAAATCTCTTCAAAGACCTGGAGAATAAATACACCTTTTCAGTATGATGAAGTATTATAGGCAGCAAAGTTGTTCTTTATGATTTGTAATTGTTTATTGATGAATGATTTTCAAGAGTTTAATGAGATTGGATTTAATTATGCATGGACTGGTGAAGTGACCGTAAAACAGATGTAGTTAATGCCCTTAATGGAAATCTGTTCCCAACTATTAACACAAATTAGATTTCCCTTAGCTTGAAAAGATTAAAATAATTACAATAATTAGAGTATAAAGAGGTAATGTTTGTTGGTTAAAATCTAGAGAGCTTATTCTCTTTTTTAAAAAAGTAAGCTTAATTTTGTGCATTTATTTTTATTGTTGATTGCTATCGAATCAAGCAGGATTCATAGCACCTCTATGAAAAAAAGACCTGAAATCTTTTGATAACTGTCGTTTCTCAAAGTTCATAGTTTCCAGAGGCATGTTGCTTAGGAAGTGGTTGCTACTCCTGCAACTACACCTGTCTTAAAATGGGAGCTCCACTAAATACTGTCCACCTTGGGTAACCATTATGCCATTTGAGACTCCAGTGGCACAAGGTTCAGCATCCCAGCATCCACAGTTTAACCTCAGTGTAGCATATTGACAGAAGAGTGCTCTATTGCTTAGAAGAATGTTCCTCCAAAATAGAACCACCACCTTTTAAATACAAAAGCCCTCAACCAGGTCTTGTTGCTCTGGCTGGTTTTCAGAGGCAGCTAATCGCATGGGAGGAGATTATCCATCCTCCTGCAGAGTCGCTGGTGGACTTGAATCCTGTGCCTTTGGGATTGCAGCGCAGCTTCTTGCCACTAGTCCACCTTAGAATGCTATTATGTATTAGTTATTTATTGGAATAAAAAGGGAAATTTGATTTCCATATGTCATTTGGATTTTATGAAAAACTTATAGTGGACAGGGTTTTTATCCTTGCTGTTGGGATTTTTGTGTTTACTGGCTGTTTTCCCATGCAGTTGTGTTTGCCTTTTTTTTTAAATGTGTACAAGAGGAAAGTAAGGTTTAATGTAGCCTTTTTATATTTTGTGACATTTAGGCAGAGCATCAGGGAAAATATCCATATGCAGAGGGAGAAAAAAAGAGTAGATTAACAAAGGGACTTCATAGAGTGAATTAGACCAGTAATAGACATGATATTAGAATACAGGTTTTGACTGTACTTTAATTTTTAAAATTGCCTAAACTGCATCTCATTTGAGAATATTTTTGTCTTTTTTAACTTACTACTTTTGATGGGGACATTTTCATAATTTATTTACTAGTTAATAAATACATGCTTTAAAAAATAGTTTAAAAAGAAAGTATGAACCAGAAGATACTATATATACAAATGTAAAAGTGAGTGTCATCAACTCAACTCCTCCCTCTTGAATCTAGAGTGACCCATAGCTGACCTTTCATAACATTTCCAAAGCTGTTAAGTCACACAGAAAGAGACTGTCCATCTTTTTCCCTTGGAGCTGCTGTTGGGTTTGAACTGCCAGATCAGTGTTTGTCTTTGGGTTAGCCGTGCACCACCGCAGAGTCCTTATCTGTGTGTCATAGTTCTTTTCAAAAGACTAAAATTTCACATTATACTATTTTTACCTGAATACATACCTTTTTTCTGGAAAATTATCACATTTTTAACTAAAAATTATACAGTGAGGGGATGCTAAGGTATATTTCAAAAGATAGCAAATTTAAACACAAATTTCAGGAATGAAATACTACATCAGAGTAATACCACAGCACTCTCATGGGGTGAAGCATTGAGTAGGGTAGGGAAAATAATTAAGCCAGTATCTAATTTAAATAATTACCCAAACTCCACTGAGTCAGAACCAACTCAGACAAGTCGATTTTAATAAGTACCCAGTAAAAAAAAATAATCAGAAGCTTTTATGAGTTTATTTTATCTTGGGAGAAACAGGCTATAACAAATTTAAGAAAAAGATACTAGTTGATTTCCCATTGTGGAAATACCAGTTTATATAGTAGTGCCTTAAAAAAATGCTCTTTCCCCCTCTAAAATGGTTTGGGAAACTGTATTTATTTGGAATGGACTTTGTTGTTGTTGTTGTTGTTGTTATGTGCTGTCGAGTCGCCTGCGACTCATAGTGACCCTATTTACAACAGCCCTAAACTCCGCTCTGTCCTGTGCCAGTCGCACTGTCTCCGACACTCCCTTCCCAATTATCCCAGTCACTGAATCAGTCCACCACATAGAGGGCCTTCCTCTCCTGCGCCGTCCCTCCACCCTCCCAAGCATGATGTCCCTCTCCAAGGACCGGTCTCTCCTCACAACATGTCCAGAGTATGTTAGACGGAGCCTCAGAATCCTTGCCTCCAAGGAACCACCCAGTTTAACCCTTTCCAGGACAAATCTGTTTTCCTAGCAGTCCATGGTATTCTCAGTACTCTTCTCCATCACCACAGCTCAAAGGCATCAATTCTCCTTCTATCCTCCTTGGTCATTGTCCAACTCTCTGATGCATAACAGGTGATTGCAAAGACCATGGCCTGTATCAGACGCACCTTAGTCTCCAGAGAGACACCATTGCTCTTCAGCGCTTTGGAGAGGTCCCTAACAGCAGACTTTCCCATGGCAATGCGCCTTTTAATTTCCTGGCTGCTGGTGCCAAGACTGTTGACTATGGAGCCAAGCAAACTAAAGCTGTGAACAATCTCAGTCTCTTCACCATCCATCCTGATGCTGCCAGTTGGTCCAGTGGTGAGAATCTTTGTCTTCTTGACATTGAGCCTCAGTCCATATTGGAGGCTGCAGTCATTGACACTCTGCAGCAGGCGCTTCAGGTCCTCTTCAGTTTCAGCAAGCAGGGTTGTGTCATCCGCATAACGCAGATTGTTGATAAATCGTCCACCAATCTTGACCCCACATTTCTCCTCATAGAGCCCAGCCTCCTGGATAATCTGTTCTGCATATAGGTTGAAAAGGTATGGAGATAGGATGTATCCCTGGCTTACGCCCTTCCCAATTTTGAACCATGCAGTGTTCCCTTGCTCTGTTCTGATGACTGCCTCCTGGTCCAAGTATAAGTTTCGCATTATAATGATCAAGTGTTCTGGGATTCCCATTCTTCTCAGAGTCTGCCATAGTTTGTTATGATCTACACAGTCAAATGCCTTTGCATAGTCAATGAAACACAGATAGACATTCCTCTGGTATTCCCTGTTTTCAGCCAAGATCCATCTAACATCAGCTACAACATCTCTAGTTCCACGACCCCTTCTAAACCCAGCCTGGACTTCTGGTAGCTCTCTGTTCCAGTCGTTTTTGGATAATCTTCAGTAAAATCTTGCTTGCATGTGAAATCAGTGGGATTGTTCTGTAGTTTCCACATTCTGTTGGGTCACCTTTCTTTGTGATAGGAACAAATATAGATCTCTTCCAGTCAGTTGGAATAGAGAAGCTAATTTTTACTTTAACCAGAGAATATCTATTAACCCCGCCCCTGAAGTAGTTTTTTCTCTATGACTTCTAGGTAACAAACAAATAATATACACACCCCAAGTGTCTCTCCCTCAGTAAGATGAATTTTTGTTTTGGGTACTTAGATAATTTATTCCAAAGGGCTACCTTTAAATATTTCTATTTAATATAAATGTACTTCAGAGTCTACTTTTTGATTTGTCTTTAGAATAAAGCTGGTAACATACTGAGAGAATCCCTCCAGGTGTGAGTCTCAATTCTTTGAATGGAAGAAGAAATACTAGATTTAGGAGAAGAGCCGAAAGCCCATTTAGACTTAAGTGCAGAGGAGTAAGATGTGTGTAAGCTTGTTAGTGTCGTTTTGGGCTCAAAGTGAAATGTATGCATGAAGTAATGAGACATTTTCTTTTGTGACCCATAAACAGGTTTAAGAGAAAGAATTTAAGCAATAAAAGCATTCTTTGAATAAATTATAGTTTTCCAATATGATACTTACAGGAAGATTTCCTAGAGAGCTACTATAGAGTAAATAAATGTCTAACTCTAAACATGGGCTTGGCATTAGGTAAGCCTTCAATAATTATTATCTATACATTATAATCATCATTTAATAACAATACCTACAAATCAGGTGAGTTCTTAAAGAATATACAGATTCATAAAGTATACCGCTGGGATATAATTATACTTGACAGCATTTATTTAAAGGTACATTTAGGGTGAATACTATGATTGGTGCTAATGATTACAACTTTATTAATGATGAAAACTATTTTCTGAGAGGAAGATTTATAAGTGATTATTTCATCTCTTAACACAGATCCAAAATCCTATTCTGAACTTATTACTGATAAACTGATATGGACAGTATAAGAAATTTTTCTTTTGCTGCTTTCTAATTATACTCTTCTGTTTATTACTCCTTAATTTTTTTTTCAAGAAAGTATAGGCTTGCTAAATTTTGTGCTTTTATGGCCATTTGGGAGTAGACAATAATCAAGGCAAAAAATATTTCTTTTGCATATTGAGTGTTTCTAATGGTGTTTTGTATTTTTTAAGTGAAAATTGTTTAACTTGGATTTTTGAGGATTTTATTATAAAAATAACAAATGTTTAATTATCTTTGATCTGAAAAGGAGAACTCAAACCCTTGTGTCTATATCTAATTTCTCCTGTTAATTATCATACATATTTTATTACATATAATTTCGTGCATTGATGATAAGAGGGAAGTTAAACATCTTTTTATTTAGCCTTATTGCTGTCTTAATTAACATTAATAAGTTATTTTCTCAGCAAAACAGATTAATATTTAGTTAAACATTTGCAAATTATTCTAGGATTGCTTCTAGCTATTCCACAGAGAGACAGATGTCACATGATTTGGTTGCTGTTGGCAGGAAAAGTGAAAACTTTCATCCAGTGTTTGAACATCTTGACTCAACTCAGAATATTGAAAACAAACCTACAGGAGAATTTACTCAGGAAATTATAACAATAATCCATCAACTTAAAGGTTGGTATATTTTACGCATACATTAGGGATAACACAAAAATAACATGCCAGCTTTTCGTGAAGATAGGTAAAGATGTTTGCTGTAATTTACTAGGAAATCAATTTTAGAGAATACTGTTTTATGCAAATTTTATTGCTTTACATATGTCATTCTAATAACCTTGTACTTCTACTCATCAATTTGAAATTGTAAGTTAAGGAAGGAGTTGCTGGAAAAGAAAAGTGTATGGAGAGTAATAAGAAATAATAGCTGATATTCTAACAGAGAAAAAAAAACCAATAAGCAGCAGATAAGAAACTCAAGAAATTTTAGCATCTGGGTCACGTCATGATACTCTTAAAGGTCCTTGATGGCATAACTGGGACTCCATGACATAAAGATGATGCTTGGTGATCATAAAAAGATCCTAGTTTGATTTGGCATACCTGTTTATGGCACTGGAAAATTGTACAATAAATTATTTAAAGATTTATGCTCACTTTTTGTGTTCATTTTAGTTTCTGACAAATTCTCATTAATTCGAAAATTCGGTCATATAGAGCAATCTACCCAAATTGTAGATAATTAAACTAGAAACCTTTAAGAATTTAAAAACATTATCGATTTCTTAGTAGATACTTGCAATTAATCTTATCTTCCTAAAATAGTTTTCATAACTTATTATCTCTGCTTCCCTCAAACTAAGGCATACATTTACTTTACAATAGACCATTTATCTGAACTAGTTTACCTCCATCAACTCTACCCCTTCTTTGCCAACAGAATTATGATATTTTTTTTTCCCTCATGCTCCAATCAAAAGCTTGTTCTTTTTTTTTTTATATATATATATATAATGGAGAGTTTTTGCTGGGTGGTTTGTTGTTGTTGTTGTTTTTTCTTTTTTCATTTGATGGGAAATATAATTTCTGGCAGAAAGGGAGGTGATTTTAGAGAAAAGTTCAGGAAGTTGTCCCAAAACTAGCATAGTAAAATGGGGTAAAGGATTGCTAATATAGCATTCTGATTAGTCAAGTACATTATCTTTTTTCTTGTACTTTTAAAAACCTGTAGCTTAGTGGATATTTGAATGTTTTCATGAGTTAAAGTCAGATCACATTAGGAAGCCTTCTGAATTGTATATGTGTAACATTAACCTTTGAACTGATTGTTTTGTTTTGTTTGTTTGTTTTTTATTTTATTTATTATGTGTGTACCGTCAAATTGGATCTGACTGGTACAGGAGGCGATTGTTCTTCCTTCTTCAGCAGAGCATCTGGTGGATTTGAACCGTGAACTGATTGTTTTTAATTTTTCAGAGTTGTTAGGGTTCACTTTTACCCTAAGTGAATGGCAGAGCTATCTTTATTTCCTAGATATAGCAACATTTTACTGGAGAAGGAAGGTTCTTATTTTGAGAGGGTCTCCTACCCCTTCAGACAAGTAAGCAGGCATACCAAATAGAAGTAGAATCCCTGTGTTACTAAATCATGATTTCACTATGGGCTTTGGGCCTGGGAGAGCACTTAAGTACTATGAAGAAATCTAAAATAGATTTTAGAGTCCACATATTTTCAAGAGAAAATAGCTTGGATGTCTACTAAAACAATCCCTCTTTCCTGTTTTTATATACTCTCAAGTGGAATTACTTTACATTGAGATAAAACCTTTTTTTTCTTTTTCAAGAAGATTATTTTCCAACACATGGCATTACTCTACATGAACGTTTTTCAAAATTGCAAACTACACAAGATGTACATGTGGATGAAGTTAAACTGAAATCAGGTCCTCAGATTCACAGGTAATGCTTTAATGTATATAAATAAACCCTCAAAAGAGATTCAGGAAAGTCTTGTGTCTTGAATTTACTCTTCTGGACTTAACTATTAAGTATTACAACTCAAGCCTTGAAGTTTGTCTTCAGTACCTTCAGCTTAAACCTCTTGCTGAGTTGGTTTTTAAATTCAGGTGAGATAGACTCAGGATCAAATTTTGGTTCTTGTGAATTTATCTTCAGCTTGAGCTTGAATGGGAGTAGCTGATAGTCTGTTTCACAATCAGCTAACATTGTGTAAATGTTTAAGACACAATGTTTGGTGGAGCTCCCCGATTAAAACAAGCTTGGAAGCAGGATTGGCATCCACTTATGAAACAGCTTGACTCTGGAAACCCTATAAACTTGGAGAAACGAAGAAAGTTATACAAGTGTTCAGGTCTTTGGTTTATAGGGTTGCTATGAGTCATCTACAACTCGATGGCACTTAACAACAACATTGATTTGGCCAGGAGGGGATACTTGGAGAAGGACATCATGCTTGGAAGGGTGGAGGGACAGCGCAGGAGAAGACCCTGGATGAGACGGATTGATACAGTCATTGGCAGTGGGGCTAGGTGTGTCGGAATCAGTGAGACTGGCTCAGGACAGAGCAAGCTTCAGAGCTATGAGTTGCAGGCGACTGGATGACACATAACAACAACATTGATTTTTCTGTGTGTGGAGTAGTTACATACTGACATTATCACTGGAAGAATGAAAGACACTTGTGAAGCCAATGAAATTGTGGGGTTGCTTCATGTGGTCAGTAAGTATTTGGAGGGCAACTGGATGAAAACATGTATTTTGGCATTTGGCCGAGCAGGTGGTACAGCCTATTTTGTGAGCTGCATCGAATCAAAGATAGAATATAGTATGTCACTGGAGTAGAGTTTAACATGACAGAATGAGTTGACTTGAGAACAGTTTAGGAGCTCATGGTGAAGTGTTCAGCTACTAACTGAAAGATTGGCTGTTCAAGGCACTCTGGGAGAAAGATGTGGCAGTCTAATAGCCTTGGGGACATTATGGCACAATTTTACCTTGTCCTATAGGATTGATGTGAGAGTCAGTATCATCAACTCAGCAGCAATGAATTTCGATATTTTGTAGGGCAGGTGGGTAGGTAAGCTATAGTGTTCACAAGATAGGTATGTTCTAGGAGAGACTGCCAAATGGATGAAAATCATCTGATAGCATATTTCTTTTGCTTTTTCCAAGGGACAGAAGCTTGATTTCAAATTCTATCCTGTAGTGAATGGAGTAAAATTATAAATACAAAAAAAAAATTTATAAATACATAATGCAGTTTTAAATTTTATCCTTTTATTATTTTAGGATAATAGATATGTCTTTGACTGAGCTTCAGAATAAACAAAGTATGGACTATGAATCAGGTCAGGTAAGTAAATCCAATTTTGGATGAGGTATTATTATTGGTATATTGATACACTGAAAGGGCATTGGTGATAGTAGAAAAAGTTAAGATAGATGAGCAATAAGGATTTAAGACCCAGAATTCTGAGATTTAAAAATCTAAGGGATTTTGATTATCAGTGAGATTGAAGAAAGAATATTGAAAAAACAGGATAGCTTTATGAAATTGCCACAAAATTACAGCCTTTAATAGTCATTGCATTACTGTGTATAGCTTGCAAAAAGTAAGCGTGGTACCTATATTTCCAAAGCAGTCATATAATCTATTTTTAAATTGTACATAGAATGAATACATATATGCTAAATTTTATTTTTTGTAATTTCCTTTCTGTTTACTGTTACATATACAAAAGATCCTGTGGAATACAAACTAGTACAGTAATGGAGATAATATGAAATTTCTTTGTTGTCCTTGTTCAGTGCCCTCAGCTAGCTCTCCCCTTTTTAATATTTCTTTGTTGGTTTGAAAAATTAGGTGATAAGATAGAGCTGGAAGAAAACTGGCTTTTTTTTAGGATTGTCTCAAGTTCTAGAACTGTTATTTTATTCATTATGTCTGAGGAATTTTTATAGAGGAGAGATTTTAATATATTCCTGATAGGGTATTATTTTTTCCACTTGTGAAAAGGTTACAATTTTTATTGAACTTACAGAGAGAAATTGGTTTATTAAGTAAATGATAGAGAACTTTTAATCATCAAATTAGTACACTCACTACTAGTGCAAAGTATTTTATCATCTTTTCTGGTGGTCTTATCTTGTATTTTAACATAGTTCCTATATAGTATATGCCATTTTATACGCTTCTTTTTACTTAAGCCATAAAAGCATTTGTTTTATATGAACTTCCCATGACCTTTTAAATGGAGATTTTTGGTTTTAATTAACTCTTCAGTATATCTCCATGTTGTTACTTAGTCTTAATTAACATAAATTAAATTATTATTCCTTTGAGTTAATTCACGATATTTTAATTTTTCCTTCTTTAATTTTTTTATTGATATTTTATTGTAAATTTATAAAGAACTTGGATTTCTGTATTCATTCATTTTTGCACATTTTCCTCCTTGACCCCCACCGCCAGTTCGCTTTTTTCTTTGGAAAAAAAATTGTCTTCCTGCCCCTCGACCACTTTACTTATGCAGCTCTTATTCTAGACTCTTGTCATAATACCTAATCATATAATCCTTTTATACAGTTCTCTCCCTCGTCTTTTTCAATGTCGTGTACATTATTTATCCCCTCTTTTCTTAGTTTTCCCCCAACCCCCATGTCAGTCCTGTTTTATAACAGTGGTATTATGCAGTATTTTTCTTTTTGTGACAGATATTTCATTCAGCATAATGTCCTCCATGGCCACCCATTTTATATAATACTTCATATTAGTTCTTTGTTTTTCAGTCTTGCATTATATTCCATTATGTGAATATACTACAGCTTCTCTATCCATTCATTTGTTGATGGGCACTTGGCTTGTTTCCAACTCTTTGCTATTGTGAGCAAAGCAGTAGTAAACATGGGTGTGCATATATCTGCTTGGATGGCAGTTCTGGTTTTTTTAGGGTATATTCCCAGTAGTGGAATTGCTGGATCAAATGGTTTTCTATTTGCAACTTTTTGAGAATGCGCCATACTGCCTTCCAGAGTGGTTGCACTATTTTACACTCCCACCAACAGTGAATAAGGGTTCCAGTTTCTCCACAACCTCACCATTATTTGTTGTTTGTTCTCCTTTAATTTTTTTTTGTTTTTGTTTTAATTTTATTATTTTTGTGTGCGTGTACCGTCAAATCAGATCTGACTGGTACAGGAGGAGATTGCCCCTCCTTCCCCGGCAGAGCATCTGGTGGATTCGAACTGTGCACCTCTGGGATTGTAGATGCAGCTTCTTGCCACTAGGCCACCAGAGCTCCCCTCTCCTTTAATTTTTTTTAAAGCATTTAAGTTACATCAATTTTTTGTCACTTTAAATATATTTGGAATATTTCTCATTTCTTGGGGTTAAATTTCATAAATGGGAGTTCCAGCTCAATGTTACAAACCTTTCTGACTGCATATTGTTAATTGAATCTCAAAATAGGTTATCAATTTGTACTACCATGTAAAGGATGAGTACAAGATAGTTTAGGACTTTTGCTAAGGATTTTATTTGATTTGAGATGATCTTTGTGACACTAACAGTAATATGAGTTGTTTATCTTTTGTCAAAATTTCTCAGAGTCCAGTTAAAGTGATAGATCCAAATGACTTACGACATGACATTGAGAGAAGGAGAAAAGAACGATTGCAGTTTGAAGATGGACAAATTTTTCAAGTAGCTAGTGCCTCGGACAGGTAATTAGGGTTTAAAAACATACTGTTATCAAGAATTTTTCTCTTTTTTTCGTGTTAAGATAATTTTTTTAGCGTGGGAATTAAATTTTTTAATTATCTTTTATTATTATTATTATTATTATTAATTTTAATGAAAATTTACAGAGACTTTGGATTTCCATTCATTCATTCATTGTTGCACTTTTATCCCTGCCCAACCCTTCTCCCCCCAGTTCGCTCTTCTCTTTGAAAAGTAAAAGAAAAATTCTTTCATATAATCCCTCCCCCCAAGTCCACTCCTCTATGCGGCCTTCATTCTGTACTCCTGTCATGACAATAAGACCTAATCATTTGTCCCTATTAAACAGTTCACTCCCTCATCTGTTTCAGTGCAGTATATATTACTTATCCCCTCTTTTCTTAGGTTCCCCCCAACCCAGATGTCAGTCACATTTTACAACAGTGGCACTATGCAGTGTTTGTCCTTTTGTGACTGAGATATTTCACTCAACATAATGTCCTCCAGGGTCACCTATTTTGAATAATATTGCGTGAGTTCCTTGTTTTTCAGTGCAGTGTAGTATTCCATTGTGTGAATATACCACAGCTTCTCCATTCATTTCTTGATAGGCACTTAAGTTGTTTACAACTCTTTGCTACTGTGAATAAAGCTGGGATTAATATGGAGGTGTCAAATTTATTTTTCATGTTTACATGAACTCTGTTAAAATGTTTCAAAGTTATTCAGTAACCATCATATGCTATTTGATTTAAACAAGCAAAATAATTATAGAGTACTAGTGAATACTAAGATTACCACTGGTGGCCTAGTGGTAATCCCAAAGACACGTAGTTCAAATCCACCAGTTACTCTACTTGAAAAGGATGGTCATTCTCCTCCTGTGCAATTTATGGCCTCTGAAAACCTGCTGGAGGGTCAGCTATGAGTCAGTTCTGACTTGATGGCACACTACAACCAACAACAAAAATAATTCTACAGAGGAGTGTAACAGGTTTTCTCCATTAGGAACCAGGCTGTTTCTAGACCATTTTGCTAAACTGATTGAGATTCTGCCCTTTGGACTCTAGTTATTCTTTGAATAGTACAAAATTTTCTAAGGTCATTATAGTTCTCTTTTGGGACCTTTCTTGGATGCCTGCCTATGAAACAAGGCAGAAGGAGTAAAAAGTGTAGGGGAAACAAAAGTCCATTTCTCACCTCTGCCAGGTTATAAACAGTTTAACTTTTGGCAAACTTGCTTAATCTCTGCATCTTCTCAATTTGAAAATGAATGAGAATAACCATAGTTATGACAGGAGAAAGTTATAAATATTAAATCTTTGTTTTGCTCTACTGACCCTGTTCCTCTTTTTAGGGACTCTGAATATTTTAGATTGGCCCTCATTGTCTCTAGTTCTGAAAACTATATGAAATCCTTAGCAGTTCTCAGACCTTATATCATTATGTTGTTATAAGCCATCAAGCTGCCTGCAACTCATAGTGACTCTATGTACAGTAGCTTTGAAAACCACCCTATCCTGAGCCAGTCTCATTGTCTCCAACCCACTTCCATTACCTATTTACCGTGTCAATACTCCTCATCCAGGATCTTTCTCTCCTGCGCTTCCCTCCATAATGTCCTTCTCTAGGGACTTGTCTCTCCTGGCCACATGCCCAAAATACGTGAGACGGAACTTCAAAGTCTTTACTGTCAAGTAGCAGCCTTCTTCTCCAGGACCACAATAAAATTTACAGTTTGTACATGATTCTTATAGACTATTTGTATCTCCCCATATGTGTCAGAGACCTGGACAATGACTAGGGAGGATACAAAGAGAATTGATGCCTTTGATCTGTGGTACTTGAGAAGAGTGTTAAATATACCTTGGACTGCCAGGAGAGGAGAACAAACAGATTTGTCCTGGAGAGGGTGAGACCAGGCTGCTCCTTGGAGGCAAGGATTCTAAAGCTTCATTGGACATACTTTGGACATGTTGCAAGGAGGGACCAGTCCTTCGAGAGGGACATCATGCTTGGGAGGGTGGAGGAACAGCACAGGAAGGGAAGACCCTCTTTGAGGTGGATTGATTCAGTGACTGGGGTAATGGGGGTGAGTGTATCGGGGACAGTATGATTGACACACGATAGAGCAGGGTTTAGGGCTGTTGTAGATAGAGTCGCTGTGAGTCACAAGCAACTTGATGGCACAAAACAACAACAAATATAGAAGAAATACCCAGAGTTACTTGTTTTTCCATAGACCCTTATATCAGATGACTAGATTTTTTTTCTATGTATCACTAATATCCTTTAATTTTTTAAAAAGTTGTTAATTATTTCATTTTGTTTGAAGTCACAATCAACACCCATAGTAGCAGCAGTCAAGAAATAAGAAAAAAACAATAAACGTATGACCAGATTTTTATGTCAAATTTATGACTACACTAGCTCTCTGTCAGTCAAAATACATGGAGCTTATTTAAAACTGTAACTGATACTAATAATAAATTTGAGACTAATTAAACAGTAAAACTACTAGTTGAGGCAGAGTAAACAATTGAAAATAATAAAGTTAACACCTTATTCATTGATAGTCACCAATTTTTAATCTATGGTAAATATATGACATGAATATGCCCATGATCAGTTGAGAAGAGGTCGTGGCACTGACATTATTACCAATGTTTGGTGGATCTTGACAGAAAGCAAAGAGTACCAGAGGAATGTCTGTGTTTCGTTAACTATGCAAAGGCATTTGACTGTGTGGATCATAACAAATTGTGGTTAACCTTGAGAAGAATGAGAATCCTAGAACACTTGGTGGTGCTCATGTGAAACCTATACTTGGACCAGGAAGCAGTCTTCAGAACAGAGCAGGGAAACACTACATGGTTCAAAATCAGGAATGCATCCTATCTCCATACCTCCATACCAGTGTATATGCAGAACAAATCATTTGGGAAGCAGGGCTCTATATGGCGTCAGGATTGGAGAAAGACTTTTCAACAACATACTTTATGCATATGACACAACCTTGCTTGCTGAAACTGAGGATAATCTAAAGAGCTTGCTGTACAAAGTCAAAGACTTTAGTCTTCAATATGGATTGAAGCTCAACATCAAAAAGATAAAGATTTAAAAACAAAATTAAAAAAATAAAGAAAAAGATTCTCACCTCTGGATCAATGGGCAGCACCATGATGGATGGAAAGGAGATTGAGGTTGTTAACAGTTACAGCTAGCTTAGCTCCACAATCAACACTCTTGACACCAGCAGGCAGGAAATCAGAAGACAAATTGCATTGGGAAAGTCTGCTGTCAGGACCTCTCTAGAGTACTGAGAATCAATAATATCAGTCCAGATACTAAGGTGCACCTAATCCAGGCCATGGTCTTCACAGTTACTAGCTATACATCAGAGAGCTGGACAGTGACAAAGGATGACAGAAGTAGAATTGATGCCTTTCAGTTGTGGTGCTGGAGAAGAATACCATGAAATGCCAAGAAAACAAATAGGTCTGTCTTGGAAAGAATGAAACCAGGTTTCTCCTTGGACGCTAGGATTTTGAAACTCCATCTCAAACTTTGGGCATGTGATCAGGAGGATTGGTCCTTGGAGAAGGGTGTTATGCTTTGAAAGGTGGAGGGACAGCACAGGAGAAGAGGACCCTAGATGAGATTAATTGATACAGTAACTGAGGCAATGGGAGTCAGTGTGTTGGGAGTCATTTGAGACTGGCTTCAGAGCTTTAGTACATAGGGTCGCTATAAGTTGCAGGTCACTTGACAACACATAGCAACAACAACATATATAGATGTTGTGTACTGTAGGGTCAGAACTGACCCATAGCTGAACCTCTGGTGGGTTTTCAGAGGCAGTTAATCACACAAGAGATTACCCATCTTTCTCCCACAGAGCAACTGTTGGCTTCGAAATGTATGCCTTTGAAATTGCACCAGAGCTCATACATATATGTATGTGTTGCTGTTGTTATGTGCCATCGAGTCACTTGCAACTCATAGCGACCCTATGTACAACAGCCCTAAACTCCGCTCTGTCCTGTGCCAACCGCACTGTCTCTGACACTCCCATCCCAATTATCC